CAAGGCCTCCTACCCACTACCAAGGTATCGGACCCACTCAATAAAACAAGACAAGAATCTAACCTACACCCGCATGTTTTGGCAGAAATGTTTAAGATAGGGGGAGGTTGGGAAGGACTTTTAAAAGGCCTTGTTGTTGTTGTTGTTGCTGCTGCTATTGTTAGGCCTCCAGACTTTCTTGAGAAGGGCGGGTCCTCAGAGGCGAAGTGGCAAACACTTCTGGCCTATGACTGCAGGTAATAAAAATCTGTCCCGGATGCCCAAGAGGAGGGACACCGGTAAAGGCGGGGCTGCAACGGAGCCCCGCGGTCCGGCAGAGGCGCGGGGCAGCTGGGCCAACAACCTGCGGACCCGCATGGAGACTGGGGTCTGCGGCGTATGGTAGAAGAGCAGGACCGCCAAGATCCGGGGCTTCGAACCCTGGCACGTTTTCTTTAGACTAAGTGCTGTTTCCACTATTGGAGATTTCGGTCCATAAGGGAGGACACGGGTTTGGCGACTCTAGGCCTGACTCTGACGTCGTAGGGGCCACTTCATGCTCCTGTCTCCCTCCGCAGACCCACCTCTAGAGCTCTGTGTCCCATCCCGGTCTCTCTGGTTGCTTGTGTCTCTCCACCTTTCTTGTTCCTCACTCCGAAATCCCGCGCCCTATCCGGGATAGTCATCGCGGGGGAGGGGTGTGTTGTGTGAGTACTTTTTCCCTGGACTCTAGGGCTACGCAGACCCGTCCTTGCCTCCAGCTCGTGAGCCCTCAGACGCGACGGGAAAACTTGCAGGGACATCTAGCGCCAGGCGTTGGGAACTGCGGGCTGCCCGGCTGGGAAGCCGACCGAAATCACTCGCCACTCCGCCTCCCTCTGGGCTCCCCCTTCATGCTTAGGCACTTTCTAACCCTCATCCTTTTGCCCTGCTAGTGAGCACAACATGGACTCCCCAGAGAAGCAGCGGGTTTAACGGAATGGAGATAGGCAGGTAAATGGAATCTTTTATCTCGATCAACCGGCAGAGTGAGCATTTGCTGGACTTAACAAAAGATTTGCTAGAGATATGTATTTCAAGGACAACGCTTCACTTTGACATATCGGATGAAACTACAGCAAGTTGCAGCTCCAGCTTTTATTTTCTAAGAAAAGCAATGCTTACTTGGGTCATGGGCTCTGGCCCCACCCTCCTGTGCCCCCTTCTCAGTGAGAGTAGTGTTTCTCTTCCAGGGAGGATCCTCGCTGTGTTTAATTCTCTCCAAGCCTGGAGAAGTCCTCTCAATCCCTCCTCCCCCGCAAAAAAGTCCACTATCCTGTATGAGGCAAGCCTGGTTTCACCAAATAACGCTTGGATTTGGAGAGGGCTTTTTGGTGACTGTTGCTGCAAACGATTTTCAGTTAATGAAGCCTAGTTGTGTTAACCCCAAATGGATAGAAAGTGCCCAAATGCAGGATTCCATTGCCTCGCTGTTGCTAGAGTTCCTGTCCCTCACCCCAGGTTTGGTTTGTTGCTCTTTTGATATTTCCAACCTCAGTAAAACTTAGTATTGCCTAGAGAGGGGAAATTAGCTCCAAAGTTGGCGGAACACAGACTTATTTAGGAACACTGTTCTGCCAGTTCCGCTGAACTTAAGACTTTACTTTGGAATTAAAAGTCTTTCTACATTGGATTTTTGACTTCTCTTGCAAGTTAATTAGGAGGGTGTCCTGCGCTTCCTGGTTGTGGCTATCAAGACAAATGCTTTCAAAGGAGTCCCCAGGACCCTGCTCTGATAGAACCCTGTGATCCTGGCTTTAATGGCCACCGATTATGTGGTTAATTGAGCTCATTGCTGTCTTGGCCAGCAGTGCAACTCCAATAAATCTACAACGCAGCCTGTATCAACCCAGGACAGGCATGCAATTGGGAAGATCATCCACAAGGAAGAAAAGAGAGGATGTGACTTCCAGAACAGCATCGATTCTACAAACGGGGTGCTTGTGGAGGGAAAGAAGGAAGAGAAGCCATTGATGCAAGAGTGAAGTGGAACTTGGGGCACAAAAGGGCCACCCTGAGTTTTTCACCAAAATCAGGAACAGTGGCAAAACTTGTTTCACAGAAGAACGCGTGAGTGTCAGAGACGTTTGTGGTACCACAAGATTTCCATTTAACAAAGCCTATTTCTGTTGTTAAGGCACCAACATCAAACACACATGCACAAGCACAAGGCTCAGTCTGTGCTCCTGGCCAGCTCAAGAAAATGATCCCTGTTAAGTGTAAACCTGAATGAAATATTTCTGCAAGTTCAGCCTTAAAATTCCTCCCCTACTTACCACCTCCAGCTTGTAAACTGTGCGTCTCATTAGTTCATAAACAAAGCAGTCCGGACTTGGCCTGGTGCTTAACCACAGCCCTAGGATCCAACAGCAGTAGCTACTCTGGGGCACTGTGCTTGGGGGCCGATGTGGATCAAGTGAGAGCCCCTTTCCTAAGGGTAATCCCCTCCCACAAGACTAGGACCTCAAAGACTGGGCTGGAAGCAGATTCAGAGCAGACTATCAAGAGAAAAAGCCCTTATCAAAACCTCCCTGGCTTCTGAACACCCACTGGGAGACACCCCTTGTTCTGCTCTGTGAGGATCCGAGAGGGCATTTGGAAGCAAAGCCACTATTGAGAAATATCTCTCAACCTGAACAGTAATTCAGATTTTCTTCCCAACTTAGTTTGCTGCATGGAAAATTAAGACAAAAGCAATGGGCGGCTTGAAACCAACAAAACTGGACAAATTCTTCCTTCCCATCATAATTCTGCTTTCTTCATTTTAAACATATAATTGATCATTAAAACGTATTTATCAGACAAAAATGGAACAGAAGTCCAAGGGACAAAGCCACAGGGACATTTAATTTTAAGGGACTGGACATTCATTGGCTGCAGTTCTGCCTTAGAAATATTTCAACGAATTTGTATTTTTGAGGTCATAGAAAAAAATTAAAGCTATCTCCATGTTTTCCTTCTCTGAGAAAAAGAAAGGGAGGCAAAGGAGAAATAAAAGCATTTCAGGGTGTCCCATGATCAGTGGTTTGGTACCAAAATTGTTTAGTAAAGACATAGTCAAGCCCTTTTTAAACATTAGCTGATGAGAACAATTTTTTTGCTGCCTTCTCTCAAGTAGTCACCTGGTCCTGGCTGGTCTTTTAAAAATGCCAATCCAGTTTCCATTGCTAATGCATGCCACCTTCTCTCAAGTAGTCAAAAAGTTGTTCTCATCAGGTAACTTCTATTCCCTACTATTTCCTACAAAGCTCAGGCCCCTCCCGTCTCAATTTTGATCATGAACATGTCTAGAACTTCAAAAAGGTCAAACAAATTCTCTTGCTTTTCCTTTCCAAAACCCCTCTCATAACTTTCCCCTTTATTTGAGCCTTTTATGGTTACTGCGTTTTGCATGTCAACACTACTAACACCCGCAGCCCACCCTGAAATGCCAGGCCAGGTCACGAAGGGCCTCCTTGGCTCTCTTCCTCACCCTACTCGGGGCCTGTCTTTGGTCGGGGGGAACAGCAGGGCTGGGTCACAAGTTGTCCTCACCAATCACAGGCGCAGGGGAATGATTTTGTTGGAGATGGGCTAAGCCTGGGGAGTCCATGCCACAAAACCAAATGGAGTCTGAGGGATCCCACACGTACCCCAGCATCCTTGTCCTATCGGATCTAACACTGCTTCTCAGGCAGGACTCACAACAGTGCCCCAATTAATTGCTCAGATGGAAGCTTGAGCTGGATGGTGGGCTTGAGCTCTGGGACTGACAGATGGCACAAAGGGATGAAGGTGGATGGAGCCGTGATCCCTAACACCCTGACAGCAGGGTCTAGGAGCTGGGCCTAGCCCTACAAGCGCTAACCCAGCCCTCCTACTGCACACTGAAGTCAGATCCAGTGTCTTTGGGTGGCTCTTATCACAAGTCCCGACTTTGCTTGGAAAACGCGCCTTCTTAATTTTCCCCTCTCAGTTCTCTGCGGTTGGCGGCTTGGAAAAGGAAGCGAAACAAAGGTCCCTGGGAAAGTGAAGTTTTCAATTAATTTGGTGTGAGTAACGGGCGGGGGTGAGTGGTGGCTGCAAAATGCTAGGGGCCAGTTGGCGGCCGGGAGGTACCGTAGCTTCTTGGCGGGCGTCAGAGAAGTGGCTTTCTCCTCCCCCGGCGCCCTTCACAGGGTTTTGTTTTGTTTTGTTGCCGCCCGGGGGAGGCCGCCCTCGGACCGAAGACCCCATCTCGGGAGACGACTAGCGTGGAGCTCACATTCATGAACTTTTCTCGCTGGGGCAAATTGTCAGACTCAGAGCGCGGAAGGCGAGTCTTCTGTCTGCTTGACTTACTTGTAAGTCTCTGTCGCTCGTCCTAGGGAGTTTGGTGAGTATTTTCCTGGAGGACAGCGTGGTGTGTGTGTGTGTGTGTGTGTGTCTGTCTGTCTGTCTAGGAAGGGTCAACGCAAATTGATCTTACGTGTGCAATGCCTTTGCCCGGTACTACGCGCAAGGTAGGGAAAATTAGCAAGGTTCGGGATCTGGAGGTCGGCTGACCGAGGGATGAAGCAACGGGATGAAAACTCGGTCTGTTTTCACGTCATTCTGACCATCTCTGTCCTTCATCTTCATGTGGTTGTGCAGATCGGGGAGCCGAGGAGAGGTGGCAAAAACAGCCGTTACCGAGACAAGGCGCAGGCCTCGGCGCCCGCCTCCGTCGCAAACAGAGCCTGGGATGGGCCGTCGCGCAATCAACCCGTGGGGGTGGCTGCAGCGCAAAACGCCTGGGTCTGGGGGAGGGCGGGAATGGGAGGTGGACCGCGCAAGGGGC